CTGTCGCCCTGCGGGCCTTGCAACCCAAGATGTGTTGTGAACACAGCTTCCCTTCCTCCATCCCCGGGCACTTCGTAGACCTCTGCGGCCCCAAATTCTCCGAAGAACAGAATTCCCGCTCCCACTTTGGCCTCCGACGGAGCTTCCTCAGATGGGGCAAAAAGCGCTCCTCCTTGGGAGGAGAACTTGGCCTCGGCATTTGGGAGCAACAACAGCAACGAAACGGCAAGGGCCACCGCTGCAGCTGCAGCTGCAGCTACAGCAACACACCAGCTACAGCAGTAGCTACAGCGGCAGCAGGAGCAGTAGAAGGAGCAGGAAGGGCTCTTGCAACAGCAACAGCAAGTCTCGTCGTTCTCCCCCTGCTGATCCTCATACGGCTTTTCTGTTGAAATCTCTACCGGGGTCTCGGAATCGAGGATTTAACTCAGATCGATTGTCATGCTGTTGGGATGACCAGGTTCGTCATATGATGCGAAGGCGAGGGCAGACCCATCCAGCCACCCCCAGAAAGAGCCTCCCTGAGTTCGCTGGGTTTCCGGCACAGTCTAGTAGGCTCCATGCATTCTCTGGATTCTCTGGACCTTGAAAGAAACACGCATAGGAACCGGTCTGAGAGACAAGACCCTGCAAGCCAAACTCAGGCGCACGCAGGCTCCTGGATTCCCAGACATCGCATCTTGCCCGTCGGGTTTTCTAGCCCAGCTGTCCCTGAGCCCTGTGGCGGACTGACCATGTGGCTGTAGGTCGTGAAAGTGGTCTGACTGTACATGCTGGCATTTCTACAGCATTTACTGTGCCAAAAGCTTTCCATTTGCGGACGGCTGCTTTTCTCCGGAGAACTGCCGCGGCTCGTCAGCAGCGGGTGTCATTCAGTCCTCCAGCGGATTTGGCGCGGAAAATAGTATTGAAACCACCACAGTCGCAAGGAACCGTAATGGATGGCGGCGCGGCTGTTCCATCACCGGGCCCCCTGTAATACTTCCTTACACAAACAAGGTACTGAAAGAAGCTGTCCATCGCAGTGTCTTCTTTCACAGCTCATATCCGCACTGTCCTCGAAGCCTTCTGAGACGGGTGCATCGAGATCCTGGTGGAATGAACAACTGCGATCGACCAAAGGCTCCTTGTCTTCATCCAAGCCCTTGCAACTCCTGAAAACCATATAGTATATCATAGCATAGTGTAGTCTAGTATAGCATAGCATAGCATAGCATACCATACCATAGCATAGCATATCGTATTGTAGTATAGTCTATTTTATGATTCACTGTCTGCCTCAGGGCTGGCATCCCAAGCATCTGTAGCCTGCAGCCAAGGCAATGCAGCACGGCAAAAGCCAAAGCTGAGGCTCTTTCCAGTGGGCAGTGGAAGGGTTGGATGTTTGTGCGCAGTGCGTGTGCTCGCTGCGGCGTGCCTCCATCTGGAGCCCCGGCAAGCCTGCAACTCAGATGATAAGATTCGTTTTCCGTAGCCACAAAAGAGAACCTGCCATACGCATGTGACATGCCGGACTGCATACTAGATTCACAGAGGGCGCTCCATTCAACTCGAGTTGCCTTTCCATTCTATGGTCCTTCGCGTTGGAAAACAGACGCAATATGTGGTGAACTGACCTCACGATAAGTCCTAGGCCGTTACAAGTAGTAGCTTTGGAGCTTCAGCATATTCGTGATATAATTCGTGCATAGCCGCCCCCTGTGCAGTTCTCAGTCCGACTCCGTTCCCTCAGGTTCCAGGCAGTTCCAGGGCCCTCGAAAACCTGTGAGCCACTTGGGGGGGTCGCGTCAAGGCAACACCTGCAAGCTTCAAGGTCAGGTGGGGGGGAGGGGGGAATGTATGTCCACCAGTGGGGTGTGGAAGGCAACATGGAAGTTCATGTAGGCAGGGCGTAGGTCCTGCGACTACAAATATGAACGAACACTCGACCCCAAGGCAGGATGCAGCGGAAGTTCAAGAGAGGTGGTGAACAGATGTCACAGGCCTCGCTGCAGAAGAGGGTCCACTTCGTCCGAAAAGAGGGATGTACCTCGGAGAGGCACAAAAACTTCCAAAAAACTCCCTGCCCTGATGACATTTCCGAAGCAAGATCAATAAGCAGGCCGTCCAAGGCCACTGCGGAAGCGGTGTTCGCGACCGTACGCACCCACCTCTCGCAGCGTTGGGACGAGGCATCAACCATGCCGGAGGAAGCACTCGCGCAGGTCTTCCCTGTGATTGTGGTGCTGTTTCTTGCCTTTTCGAGTACTACTACTGTCACTACTGTCGTGTGCTTCCTTCGCCGTTTTTGTCGTATTACCAGGCTGAAGGACTGTGGCCAGGACCACCACCACACCTGTCCTGAGCGCCAGCTTCTAACGACTTTAAACGCATGGAGCACCACAATGCATCACCGACCAAATCTATGCATCATAATGTCACAACATCTCCCAGGCAAGCATGACAAAACACACAGCAGTCACGGCATGTCACGGCTCTCGGTCAGCCTCAGGCTCTTGGGCTGGCCGCAGCTGATGATCGAAGAAATCCCAATCGTGATCGTAGCGGTCCAGGTAGATGTACCTGCCGTCCTCACGGGTTGAGGGGTTGAGCATGGAGTTCGGGTTTCCAGAGATGGGGGCTTCGGATGCAGGGCCGTCTACGACTTAAATTCAAACGCAAGGGCTTCCGGTACTTGAGATGTTTAGGCTTGCAGGCATGCCCCAGCCATGCCCTGGGCATGCCCTGGGCACTTGGCTCGACTCATGCAGGCTCAAAAGCTTCAGCAGAAGCTGAGCAAAACGTGCTGGCAAGCCTTATGCTCATCAACCCAATCCATGCTCTGAGGCTCCGAAGCCCCAACTCTTTCACCGTCGCCCGGTGGTTTCGATTCAACATGACGTCTGGGGCTCCCGCGAGACTCACGCCGCTCACGCAGCAAAGAACCAAATCCCCCAGTTGAACTTCCTCGTTTCAGCAAGATTCAGAATCTTGCGCTGTACATCCGGGAAACTGCAAAGGCCCGGAGTGGGTTGGTCGTTTAAGTTTCGGAGTGTGTCCATACCGACGATGAGGCTGCGCACATCAATCGCTTCGGGGACTGATGACTGCTGCTGCTTCCAAACACGTCACACACAGAGACAGACATAGGCTTGGCGATTCTCCAGATTGAACACAGCTCCCTGGCTCTTGAGGTAGCCTTGTACCCTTGAAGTACTCTCATAATTAAACCTCGCCTCAAGTTAACCTTCCCCAGAAGCTATCTTCCGGGATGCCCTGGTCCCTCTGCCCCGGCCTTAAATCGCCTGAGAGCTCCAGGAGTGGAGACCATGCCGACGCGCCCGGCATTCAGCTTCAGGAGCAGCTTGCTGACAGGCAGGTCCGGCATGATTATGGAGTCGCATGCAGCGGGGACTGAACATCCACATTCTTGCTCCTGCTGGATCTATAGACTCGGCTTTAGCTGCTTAGTATTGGCTTCGTGTTATAGGAAATGCCCGCGCCATCTTGTTTGCGCGTTCCATCAAACCCGCCAGCATCACTCGGCTGTCCGCGACGCGACTAGGGCCCAAAGCCGAGTCCCAATTTTGGCCTGGCAACAATGCTTTCCTATCCAGAAGCTCTAAGTGCTGCCGAAAAGCAATGGGAATTGTGCGGGTAGTCTTGCGGTGTAGATGCATGCTCAGTCGGTCTCTCTCTCTCTCTCTCTCTGTGTGTGTGTGTGTGTGTGTGTTGCATACTGTCGACAGCGTGCTAACTAAACCCGTCAATTGGCCAATTTCACCTGAGGAATGTTGCAGTTTCTTGAGCGAACGGAACATAACAAGGCCAAAGGAATCAGCACACATACATGGTCATCATCATCATCATCATTGTCATCATAAGGATACTGATAATGACAATGACAATGATAATGATAATGTTAAAAAAATAATAATAATGATAATAATGAGAATAATGATAATAATGATAATAATGATAATAATAATAACAACAATAATAGCAACAACAATCATCATCATCATCATCATCATCATCATCCAGCTCGGCCGTCCCCGTCTTTGCGACTGGGCTGCCATACTTTGGGCCGTGGGAAAGTTGGAGTTCAGGATACGATATTCAGCCGCGCGCTTCGAAGCTCGAGCAAACTCCTGCAACAGGGAGGGATCTTAGGGTTTAGGGTTTAGGGCTTCTTATTTCCCTGAACTGTGGACAAGATTGCAGGCGGCAAATCTCGGCAAAGTCCTCAAGGGCTGTGCTGGAGTTCTCTTTACCAGCTGCCACGAGGCTTTGGTGGAGCTGGTGCAGATGGCTGACAGAATGGAGCGCATACCTTACGAGACCCTTGGAAAGGGGACGCCGAGCCCAGAGGGCTGGATCCTGGAGCATAACCGACTTTAGTTCCGTCTGCTCCGGCTCGATGTGCAAGTATTGCTTCAGAAGCTCCGATGCCGAGGCCTGGTAAGCCTCACGACCCGCCCTTTTCTCAAGGACAGCATGCGAGGCCTGTGTGTCAAAGACAGCTCGCAATTGAATGCCATGCTGGTGGAAGAGAGCTGCACTGTCTTCCCGACAGTCGTGGATTACCTTGACGATCTGCCTGCTCTCGAGAAGTGGTGCAAAGGCTTTCACCACACCCGTCCGCAACGCATCACAGAGAACGACTTGACCTTTGGAACCCTGCAGCTGCAGAAGGCAGATGCGGCCAAAGCGTCCCAATCGGACTCCCTCGCAATCCAAAGCCACAGTAGGACTACGAGGATTCCAGACCGCCTTCAACTCAGCCTCCTCGCCGTCCTCGCTCTCTTGATCCACCTGGATGCCCTGGGTCAAGGCAGTGCAGGCCTCTCTGCCCTGGGCCTCGCTGGTCACGAGATGCACTCGCTGCGCTCCTGCACAGCCTCGCACCTGCTTTCCCTGCGCGCAATGGGCTGGCAAAATGAGCAAAGCACGGGGCAACTGCCCCCTGCTCCAGCTCGAAACGACTCTGGAGAAGGCTGGAGCCATGCCTACAAGTGGAACGCTCCGCCATCCTGCTAAAAAGCTCCTGGTGCAAGTCACGAATGAGACCTCTCGACACAGTTGCTGACAAAATCGTCTTCAGCCTAATAGCTCACACGTGCTGTCTGAATGGTGCATTAACTAGTTTGCCTCTTGAGGAAAAGATGCCACAAGCTGGCACGAACCAGGATCAGCTCTGTCCGCAAAGTCATTGACAATCCTCTTGGCGTCATTGCACTACACTCTGACTGCGACTTAAGCGCGACCCTTTTGCGACTGGCTCAAGCGTCTTTGGCTGGCCGCCACTCCTGCAAGGGGATTGAATGCTTCGAAGTGCCCTACTGGCGCTAGCAAGAGAACATGGATCTGCCCTGCCTCAAATCCATGGAATCGCCAGGATCCTATGCCGGAGCTCGCGCGGCGGCTGGCCGCCCCTTCGAAGGCCTCCTTTGACGCCTGGAGGATGTCGGAGACTGAAGCTAAGGCTCCTCTGCCCACATCGCCACATGCGAGCTTCTTACTGATGGGCGGGATGATGATGGAGCCACGAGCTTGGAGAGTGTTCAAGTGCTGCGCAGTGCTCGGATGCTCCCACATCAAAGTGTTCATCGCGGGTGCAAGAAGCAGCGGCTTCTCAGGATCCCAAGCTCGTAAGAAGGAGGTCGCCAAGTTGTCACAGAGCCCCAAGGCCAGCTTTGCCAGGGTGTTTGCGGAGCATGGCGCCACCAGCGCTACGTCGGCCCATCTCCGGAGCTCGATGTGAACCACAGAATCCGAAGAGACGTCCTCGTAGCCATCCCACTCGTCGATGTCGCGCAAGACATGAACCCCGCAGCGCTGCAGGGCCTCCCATGCACGATAGCGTTCAGGCGAGTATCGCCCGGCTACCTGCTGACTGGTCATCACCTCGGCTGGTGCTGTGAGGACCACTGTGACATCTGCAATCTCATTCAGCTTCTCCACGAGCTCCGGAATCTTCACCGATGCAACGCTGCCTGTGGCCACGACTGCAATCCGAGGTCTTCCCAGCGGACTTGCCGGCTCCTGGAGCCATGCTGCTCTGCATGTGGGTGTCCACTCCTGCGCGAGGCACTGCAAAGAGCTTGTTTTGCATGGCTGCTTGGCTGCGTGCCTTCTTCCGCTGACGCAAGCGGTGCTCTACCAGCAGCGCCGCAAGTGCAAGCCCAGCCCCAGCAGCCACCTGGAGATCCACCGGAAAGACTGCAAGGCAAGACCCCCGGAGCTTTGTTGTCTACATGAGCTTGACCAAGATGCCGGCCAAAGCAAAGTCCCTGAGTCGAACAGAGTTATCCATGGCTGAGTTTGGGCCCGGGCACGGATCGCAGATGTCCGATGTTGCTGAAGTCGCTGCTCACTGCTGACTTGTGGCATGGTGTAGCAGAAACCAAAGCTGCAGCATAACAGTGACAGATCTAGATCTTGGGCTGAGTGGTGCTGTTTCTGCTGCCGCACAAAAATACCAAGTGCCTTGCTGAAGCCACAGCACTGCGGCTGGCTGCCTGTCTGAGTCGCGAAACGAGACCCACACGTTTTGGCACGGCACAGACTGCGACGAACCGTTGACAGGACCAAACGACGACAGATTGCGGCAACCTTGTAAAATGACAGGAAAGTTTCACTCTAGAGTTGGTTACTCCACTGCCAAGGGCTAATCCGAAAGCACGTACGTCTGGCTAATCAGGCCAAATATCACAACGCACTGACAGTGTCTTCGTTGGGCAGTGACTGTCAGGCATACACTGCCCCCTGCTTTTAAACAGACGCCATGTCCAGGCGCTTAAACGCACACAGACACATATATATATATATATGTATGTATGATTATGTATGTATAACACATGTGTATATAAAAATATGTAGGAAAAGGCCCAAGTGACCCAGCTGCGGGTATCTTGAAGGCCCTATGTACCGCGTGCAATGGCCGCTCTTCGAAAGGCGGTACGCCCGTGAGCTCCTGCGGGATAATGACAACTACATCACATGCTTCGGTAAGATGGACTGCAATTCGCCGGACAAGAACTTCGCCTTCATGACATGCTCTGGCAGCGCACTGCGCTGCATAAACATGGGGGTGGACAACTTCGGCGATGACGTACATCTTCAGTTCTTGGAGCAAGGAACGGCGCATGACGAGTTGCATTGTCTACCAACCTGTGAGGCTGCGTCTTTCCCTGCAGAAGGTACGAGAGAGCCTGGTCGCCGCACTACCGGAGGCCACTTCTACCCTGACCTCACTCATATGGCGCAAGTTGAAAGCCGCAACCGGAGCTGGCAGCATCTGGCAGCCCCTGCAATGCTGCCATGTTGCATTGGACTCGGCATCGCTATAATAGCAACCATGTTAAGTGAGCGCTGTTCCCAGATTGATATCGCAGTGTGGAGCTTATTAAGCAGTTGCATCGCACTTTGGTCTGAAACACTCGCGCTTTCTCAGTTATGGTGCGGGTTTCCTTTCACCTCATCTCGCATACACGAAGTCACTGTGCGGGACCGGACGGGGCTTGGAAGCGGAGTTTATTTGGTGCTTTGATCGCCGACAAATCACTTTCCGAGTTTCAATCTTTGCATTGTAGGGTCCTGTGCTGTGAAAGCCAAGCGCCAGGGCACCTCATGTTCGCCACTCCGCGCTAAACAGCCCAATGTCCTAGCTTGCATGATGCCTGAGGGGCAGCACTATGGTGTGTGTGTGTGTGTTCCCCTGTCCCGTCGTTTACCAGCCAGCTCTGAATCACAATGGCCACGCTGAGCCAAGTAGCTAGTTTGGCTTTCTGGCAGGATGCGGCTTAACCGCTTACGGTTTTTACGTGCTGCTGTGCGGCTGGCCACGTCTACAGCGGTTTGCCTTCCCTGGCTAAACCCTGACGTGCCGGATTTCTGCTCAGCTTGTGTCTAACATCGGCTAGTGCATACTGGCAGTCAGAGGTTTCGCTTGCAACTTAATTAAGCCACAAAATCCTCTGAATGCTTGCAAATGGAAAAAAAGGAAATGTCAAGACACAATATATATATATATATATATGTATACACACACATATACATACATATGCCCTGCCCCAACTCTCACGAAATCTCCGCCCTTCGTTTGGGATTCCCACGAGGTCGCGATCCATCTGCACGAGGCCGCCTTTGGGCCGGAGGACATCGCAGAACTCATAGAGCCGAAAATCTCTTGCAAGTCCAAGCCTTCTTACAGGAGGCATCACGTTTATTTAGGGCCTTAGGGCTTTAGGGTTTAGGGCTTTAGGGTTTTAGGGCTTATGCTGCCCCATACGGCGTCCAAGGGCCCAGTGTCCCACTAAGTTTCGCGTGCATGGCTCGCGGCGTCGCTCAGCGACGTCGGAAGGTCCACAGGGACGAAGAGACCATCCTCAGCTACTTCCAGCTACATTATTGGGTTTAGGAGCTTAGGATCTAAGATGAATAACTGCCTATATAATTGTTTAGGGTTCCTTATTAGAAACATACTAGAATCACTCGACAACTACTTTCATTCAGGTGCAGAAACGACAGGCTTCAGCCGAGCGTCGTGGGCGAGCTGCACGTCAAGACCTTCCGATTTCCACAGCTTGCCTCGGCTCAGCGGGATTGATGCACCAACTCCCTGCTGTTGAACTGTTGAACTGCGTTCCATCTGCCATCTTCATGCATTCTGTAATATGGAACATGGAACTTAGTATTTTGAATATAGAACAAAGCAAGCCCTAAGCCCTAAACCCTGACTTTGGAGAAAGGCAGTTAAACTGGTAGCCGAGAGGCGGAGCTGGCGATTCATTGCATGGTGCTCGCCTTCGTCATCAGGTGACTAGTTCTGAAGAGCCTTTGACTCAATGATTCGAAGAGGGCTTTGGGTATTTTTAAACTATGATTGTAAGACGGAAGGAACCCTAAGGAATAGTAGTGTCATTTTTCGGTCCCCTACATAGCTCTGAAGGGCCTCAAGAGTTGAGAGCTGCAGCCTTGAGGCTCTAAAGACGCGCCTACTGGCCTACCGGGTGTGGTGTCTTATCGGGCCGCGAAAACATGTGCCTAGACACGCTCTGGAAAAGAAGACTTGACTTGAGGAGCCGCAGCAGACCAAGAAGATGTGAGCTCTTGGGAACGGAGCAATAAAAGAAGCGAAGCAGCTGCAGAGCGGAACTTTGTCAGTCACAGGTTCAGAATCCAACAGTCAGCTCCTATCCAGCTGACCGCATTTCAGCAACGGAAAGCGGCCGGACCGGTTTTTTGTTGTTACCTGCACTGCCTGTCTTGAGCCCCCATCGCAACCCTCGCTGCTTCACGAGTGTGAAGCTCTCACTTGACAGCAGGTTGCCCGTCAGCATGTTCTCTAATATGTAGGCTGCGGAGCGAGTAATTGTGCGGATGTCGGGTGGAGTTTGCCGTTACCACCGTTAAATGTAGGAGCACTACCAAATTACCGGTGAACATCCGTATTTCTCGATGGGAACACGGACCTCATGAGGAAAACGTTCCTTCCATCCCGCGAAGCTGATGACTACGCAACCGACAAGGGGCAATAGTGGCCAACACCGACGAAGAAGGCCTCGCCGGCAGTCAGGACACCCTTTGTCACATGCACTTGAGCATTGCAAAACACCAGGCGCCACAGCACCAGCTCCCCCAACGAGCCTCAAGACCCCTCAACCCTCAGGTCAGAACCGATTCCCAAACAGCAGAGGACAATGTAGGGGCCTTAATAATTAGACTAGGGTTTCGGGGTATATTATACTATAACTATAATAAGGAACCCCCCAAATAGTATAGGTAATTATTAGTAAGGCCACTATACTAAGTCATCGTGGCTCCAAAAAACCCAGACTCTCCGAGTCTCCTTCTCCGGGCGAAACCGCCGCACCAAGTCCAAACTCTCCTCACATCTTTGGAGTCTCAGCGCTCACCCTAGCCTAAACCCTAAACCCTAAACCCCAAACCCCAAACCCTAAACCCTAAACCCCAAACCCTAAACCCTAAACCCTAAACCCTAAACCCGAATGGCCCT